CCCCAGAAAAAAAAAAAAGAAACTGGAGGAGGACTAGGAATGTAGCTCAGTGGTGGAGCACAAAAAAAGATATTGATAGATAGGTAGGTAGGTGGATAGATAGATATCTAGATAGAGAGATAGGAAAAAAGTGCTAGATTTCAGATAGCTTCTTTCTCTCCCTTGATAATTGCCAAGGAAGTTTGCAGCTGACTCCTTTTCTATATTTTCTCTTTGTTTTGAAGATAATGAGTAGGCTTGTGTTGTTCTTTTCTGCTTCATAGGATTTAGTGTCAGATCACAAAGCAGCCCTGCAGAGCATGAGAACAGGGAAGGAAGAAGGCTGCTCATGCTACCGATGCAACTCCCAGCCAGGGTTTTCTGAGTGGGAGAAATGAATTTTTTTTTAACTGATATAAGTATTTCTTTTAACCCTACTATCCTCAAACTTTGTGTGTGTGTGTGTGTGTGTGTGTGTTTTGCCAGTCCTGGGGCTTGAACTCAAGAGCCTAGACACTGTCTCTGAGCTTCTTTTGCTCAATGCTAGCACTCTACCATTTGAGCGGCAGCACCACTTCCAGCTTTTCTGTGTATATAGTACTGAGGAATTGATCCCAGAGCTTCATGCATGCTAGTCAAGCACTATACCACTAAGCCACATTCCCAGCCTACAATAAATTCTTTTTTTTTTCTTTTTTGTGGGTTGTGGGGCTTGAACTCTTGAGTCTGGGTGCTCTCCCTCACTCTTCAGCTCAAGGCTAGCTAGCGCTCTACCACTTGAGCCACAGTGCCACTTCTGGTTTTCTGAGTGGTTTTTATTGGACTTTCCTGCCCAGGCTAGCTTTGAACCGTGATCCTCAGATCTCAGCCTCCTGAGTAGCTAGGATTACATGCATGAGTCACTAGTGCCTGGCTACATAAGTTCTTTAACTCCCTCTAACTCAGGCATCCTATGTGAAGCAGGGTAGTCAACTGACTAGTCTAATGCCAGGGTCCATCTATCTGTTGGTCTCTTATTGTCACACAGACTTTATTATGTAGGGAAAGGATCTCCATGGTACTAACAAAGAAGAAATCAAGTACAGAGAACCTGGCTCCATCTGAGATGTATGTCATTTTGTTTTTCAGCTATGGTGGTCAGCTGGCTCTAAGGAAAAGCTACTTGCCAGCGGTGCAAGTGCTGGTAACCAAAAAAGGGGAATGGACAGTTTAGGAGCTCCAGCACTCCTCAGCAGAGCTGCAATCCTGGCTGGCCTTCTGAGGGTGAGTTAAATGCAGTTCTCTGCTTGCTTGAGGTGAACTTGCTTCTGCTTCAGCTTGGGTGAGGCACACCCTTACTTCTCAGTAATTAAAACAAACAAAAAACATTCTGGGCTGAGAGGCATGCTTTCAGTAGTAGAACATCTGAAATACATGAGAAGACCTGAGTTCAAAGCCCACCCCCAAAAAAGTTCCCACAAGCTATCACTTCTGCACGCTCTTACTCAAACCAAAAGGCACCAGTCCTGGATGGTGGGAAAGGGGACAGAAGGCAGAATCTGGGGCCAGCAGAATCTAGGCTCCCCAGCCTTTAGTTGCTAGGCTTTCTGCTTGGATCTCCACCTCAGGAAGGTAGCCTTCTCTGGCCCTTAGGGAACTACATTTTGCTAAGGACCCTGGGCCTTCTGGAAGTGGCTGGGCCAAGGCATCTCCTCCCTGCTTTCCATGCTTCTTGCTAATGGGTTATGAAGCCAAAGCTCTCCTGGGCAGGGGCAGTGAGTGCAGAAGTCGGGAGGAAGTCCTGCTGTGCCCTGCCTCAATGAGACCTGCTTTATGGTAGAGCCAACAGTGGCTCCTGGATGCAAAAAGCAGAAACGCCTGGATTGGCCTTGGCCTCTGACATCTCTGGAAGTGCTGAGAGCCTGAGCTGTAAGGTGAGGCACATGTGCTCACAGCCCCTTTTGGGCTACGGCCTAGGTTCGTCGGGACCCCCCTTTCCCAGCCCCCTGAGTTAAAAGACAAAGGAAGCCCAACTGCCAAGGAGCAGACTTTGCCTCAGGCAACTAAATTTATTAGCAAGAAAAAATTTTGCCAGCCCAGCACTGACCAACAAAGTACATCGTTAATAAAGGATAACAAATCTGTCACTTAATTCATAAAACATACCTCAAGCAGTTACAACTAAAAATAAAGTTGGATTTTAATTTAAAAGCCTCAAAAATAACAAGCAATATGTTTTTCTTAAAACATGTTGTAGACACAATCGTCTATTATACAATATACACTGTACACAGTAGAGCTTGGGCAGCTGGGGCAGCAAGATGGGGAGGGAGAAGGGTAGGATGGGAAATGTTTTTATGTCAAGTCAGATCTGAGTTGAAATGCTGTGTCACTTAGAAAAGAAAACTGTTAGAGGGAGAAAAAAATTCCTATGTTCATCATTGCCCCCCAAATCCTAAATCAAAAAAGGCATGGGAGAGATGAATACCAAGGAAAAGAAGAAGGGAGCAATTAAATAAAACTTCTTTAAAGCACACACATACACAGTGTTCATCATCTGAAGTACAGAGTATAAGGCAACGTTCTCCATAGAAAAAGGGGAGCAGGGAAGAGTCCGAGGACATCTGACCTTTGAAGTAGGAAGTTGGAATGTCTGGAGGAGCGCCATGGCAGGGCTGGGCAGTGGAGTGGAGGTGGCCTCCCAAGCCTCTGCAGAGATGAGTGCCAGTGGGAGGCTGGGTACAAGGTCCCAGGGCATCCCTAGTGACTGAAGGGGCCTGGGAGGCACACCCAGGAGGAGAGCATGGCAAGATGGGACTCCGGCAGTGTTGGGAGTGTCAGGAGTGGGGTGGGACAGGGCGGGGCTCACTTTGCTCCTTGAAGGAGTGAAATGCATGTTTTTTCCTTTGGAAATAGGGTTCCCATGCGTCCTAGTTTAGAACGTCTCAATGGGCATGGCCAGCGTCCATGGTCTGGGCAGGCCAGGAGCTCTTGGTGAGAAGGGAAGGGCCAGGGCAGAGCCAAGGGCTTCAGAAGGAAGAGAGCAGAGCCCCCTCCTGTGGGGACACAGTTGCAGAACAGGATGAGGTGAGGGCAGCTGTGGGCGCCTGTCTGCCGGGGCCCAGGCCACACAGACGAAGGATTGCATCTTCAAGGTCTCCCACTTCAGTCACTCTTATAAGTTCTTCGTGACCAGGTGGGTCTTGTAATGCTTGGTAAGGTGGTCACTCCTCATGAAGCGCTTCTGACACTGGGCACACTCGAAGCGTTTGTCCCCTGGAAGAGGAGATGTTGGTCACCTACACAGTCCCTGTGGAGCCACCCCAAAAAGGAGGAACACACGTGACAGGCTCTTAGTAAAGCCAACTGGTTTTGTCTCCACACTCAGTCTACCTCCTGCTTATAGGATTTCTCCCCGTGATCTGTTGATCTGGCTCTTTGACCAATTCTCACTTCTCTGACCCACAAACCAACAGTGTGCTTTGTTCTAGTCCTTGTCCCACTGTGCTTGAGCACCTGCACCTCACACAGCAGGATGTTCACTCTTTCTTTGTTCTGATCTGTGGCCCTTGAACTTTACACGTGGATCAACATCTTCTCCCTTTTAGGGAAACCCCACACTGCCCTCTAGTCTTGCCATCCCGACCCAGACTAGGTCAGCTGCTGTTCAATGTTTACTTTTCACTTCAGTAGGGAGCGGGGTAATCACCTATCCAGGAGCTACAGGGATAGGGGTCTAACTCACAGGAGCAATCACTACGGCTGTTTGTAAAGCGCCACACACAAATCCCTGGACATGCTCAAGAAAACTTCAGATGACAGGTGAACATTTTTCTATAGTTTTGTATTTTTCTGTCCCAGTACACTAAAACATTTAACTATGATATCAAACCCGTGGTATCAAAAACAGTATTGCCTAGTATATAAATGAGTAAAAAAGATAAAGCAACTAAGGGAAAATCAATAGGGAGATGACAGCAGAGCAGCATGGGACAGCAGGGTACTTGTACATTACATCTGTGCTTATTAACAGCTCTGGAGGAATGGCAGAGGTTATGTGATACAATGACATGCTTTGAGCACACTGTGATACAGACATGGCTTGAAAGAACTCTCCAGGTAGCCTGGACAGTTGGTAGTCTTGCTAAGTGTGTTGGGAGTGATGAGGCACGGAGGGTAACAGTGAGGGTGCAGCAGGTAGCTGACCTGTGTGAGTACGAGCATGCCTTTGCAGCTCGTCGCTTCTTGTGAACCTCTTCCCACAGAAGAACCAATTGCAGACGAAGGGCCGCTCGCCAGTGTGCAGGCGCACATGGGCTCGCAGCAAAGACGTCTTCCGGAAGGTCTTGCCGCAGTCAGGGATGTGGCACACATGCTTCTTCTTGCCCTGCTCTCCAGACCTGAGAATCGGTTGAGAGTGGGGTGGAAGAGACAGGAAGTGGGGAAGGAGGAGGTATAACAGGAAGTGGGGAGTCAGGATGAAGAGCACAGAAAAGGCAGGAGGCAAGTGGCATGAAGCCACCAGTTCCCTCTGCATTTGGGCCACCTCAAAGTCCTGAGCAACTGTCCCATGGGCAGGTGTGGGGGTGGGGGTGGGGTTAGGGAACAGGGTACATACCAGACTGCTAGTTTGATCCCAACTCTTGAATTACCTCTTTTCCCCATCTTTGCAGTTGGGACACGTGCAGGCCATGCGCCGCCGCTTCTCCCCAGGCTGGGCCTCTCCCGCCAAGGCCTGCTCCATCTGCAGCTGGATCTGGGTGGGGCTCAGCCCACTGATGGTGAGGTTGTTTCCAGAAACGTTCTGCACTGTCAGCTGCTGCTGCCCTGTGAGAAGGACAGAGAAGGACACAACTCAGGGCAGGAAGCCTGAAACCTCAGGTCAGTCTCTTCCTTCCGTAGATGGTAAGGATGATCACCAGGGCAGGTAATATTTTTTAGAGCCAGCCTATCAGACCCCTTAAACAGACTCATAATTGTTACATGGATTCAGAGTCAGCCAATTCTCTGGTCCATTACACTCCACTGGCAGCATTTACTTGAAGACAGTGTTTACTTGATTTCAGTAGGGAAGTTTATCTTGTTTTGGAACATTGTTCCTGAATCTGTCCAGCCTGTGTTCTAGTGAGCTATCAACTCTGTTTTCAAGGAAGTCTTCAAGGACTTCTGTTTGTAAGTGTGAGAAAAAAAGCAAAAAAGCCGGGGGCTGGTGGTTCACACCTATAATCCTAGCTACTCTGGTAGCTGAGATCTGAGGATCACAGTTTAAAGCCAGCCCTGGCAGGAAAGTCTTGAGACTCTTATCTCCAATAACCACCAGAAAACTGGAAATGGGACTGTGGCTCAAGTGGTAGAGTGCTCGTCTTGAGCTGAAGAGTTGAGGGACAGTGCCTAGGCCGAGTTCAAGCCCCATGACCAACAGCAACAACAACAAAAAAAAAAGAAAAAAGAAAAGGGTGAGGAAAAAGTTCTATGACTTTGAGAAATCAAGTCCTCTTGAACAGTTTTCCCTTCTCCTTGTTGTAGTCCCAATGGGAAAAAACGAATGCCTAAAGTGCTAAGAATTAAGGACTAAAAAGAGTAGAGTTTCAGAAAGCCCCCACTACCTTGAAAACTGCCCCTCACCCAACTACAGACTGCAAAGAATTCTTTTTCTTTTTCTTTTTTTTTTGAGTCCTAGGGCTTTAACTCATGCACTGGGCTCTGTTCTTGAGCCTCTTTGTACTCAAAGCTAGCGCTCTAACACTTGAGCCACAGCACCACTTCTAGCTTTTTCTGAGTAGGTTTACTAGAGATAGAGTCTCACTTACTTTCCTGCCGAGGCTGGCTTTGAACTGCAATCCTCAGATCTTAGCCTCCTGAGTAGCTAGGATTATAGGTGGGAAACTGGCGCCTAGCAAAGAACTTTTTTCCTAGGAAACTCCAATGTATCCTTTGATTATTTTGATTATTGCCCAGGATGTTTGTTTTTTTTTTTTTGGTTGGTTGTGGGGCCTGAACTCTGGGCCTGGGTCCTGTCCTTCAGCTCTTCAGCTCAAGGCTAACACTCTACCACTTGAGCCACAGTGCCACTTCCGTATTTTTCTGCTTATGTGATGCTGAGGAATCAAACCCTGGGCCTCATGCATGCAAGGCAAGCACTCTACCACTGAGCCACTTTCCCAGTCCCCCCCCCCCCCCCCAGGCTGCTTTCACAGTATATCACTAGTGAACTGACATGCAGCATAGCTGTCCCACTGCTGAGGGCTCTTCCTTTCCTCCCAAGCTCAACACCAGTCTTTCTAAGAAGCCCTCTTGACTTCCTTTACCTGGAGTTTCTCAGGAACATCTGTCTTTGGTCTAGACCAAAATAATTTGCATAATTAGTGTGTTACTTAGAAAGTTTTCCTGGGCATGTCTAGTTTTCTCCATTCTATTCAAGGTCTGAAGTTGTCAGATGGGGGTGGGGCAGCATGTGACTTACCCTATCCCACAGTACTACTGTAAGGACTATGTGGGAAGACATACATGGGTCTACTCTTAGGCCGGAGGAACCAGGCAAACAATGGGTAGCATCCTCACTGCTGCTACTGGGAAGCCTCAGGCTTGCCCAGTTCCCACATTCTGGGCACACAGCTCTGCTGCCACCACCTTGGCCATAGGCCTTCTCTCACCGCCCGTGTTGGTGATGGTGACAGGCACACCCTGGACTTGGACACCATTGATGTTGATGGTCTGCATGGCTTGGGCAGCTGCCGCCAGCTGTGCAGCATTCAGGCTGATGATGCTTCCAGCAGGTGCAATCTTTGGCAGGGGACGCTCTTTTCGGAGAATTGCAGCAGAATGCTTTTTGCTGGTCCCACTCAGATGGTGAGCTCTGGGTGCAGGGCTGCTACAGGTCGTGGTTGAAGTGGCTGCAGCTGTTGCTGGGGGGCTGTCCTGGACGAGGACAGTCTGCACCTCCCCAGAAGGTGTTCGGATATAGACCTGAGAAGGCCAAAAAGAAGTGAGTGTCCTAGAGAGTATCTATCCCCTGAATGAGAACTAGGCATCTCTGTCAGCCCCAATTCCTACAGCATGCCCAAATCTACATTAATACACTGTTAATCTTCACCAAGGGCTGATGGCCTCCCTGTACTAAGCTGGCTATGGAACTGAAACCTTTATTTACTTAACATAGAAAAAGATGTTCTAGCTGGGTTCCAGTGGCTCATACCTATAATCTTAACTACTCAGGAGGCTGAGATCTGAGGATTGTGGTTCAAAGCCAGCCCAGGCAGGAAAGTCTGTGAGACCCTTTATCTCCAATTCACCACCAGAAAACCGGAAATGGTGCTGTGGCTCAAGTGGTAGAGTGTTTGCCTTGAGCTGAAGAGTTGAGGGACAGCGCCCAGGCCCAGAGTTCAAGCCCCATGACCAACAACAACAACAAAAAAATATGTTCTCCTAGAACTGGAGAACCAGATGGCAGTATATTATGAATGATCATCAAATAAAAATAGTCCTTAATAACCATAGGTTAATAGAAACAATTTCTCTCCAATTTACAATGACATAAAGGGAAAAGTATCATTGTTAATGAATTAGTGGGAAATGTGAGGAGGGTTTCTGTGGGGGGAGGACAGCAGCAAACTGGCAGAGGAAGCTAAAGAGCCCATGGGACTGGTTATATTGGAGGAGACTGATCCAGAAAAATCAAGGAAGAATAATGGGAGTGAGGTCTCCTGACAGAGAGAAGGGAGTTACAAATACAGAGAAAGCTAGAGGAAACCCTGTGGTGTCAGAATTAGAAACATTGGTGGAAATTCAGGGGTTTTAATAAACAGAAATATAAGTAAAAATGTGTACCTGTATGTCTGCATATGATCTGTATCTATTTGTACTTCTTAGCTATAACCACCAAAAAGGCCTTAGCATCTAAATCCCATGCTCTACTAATAGGAACAAGGACTCCTTGGGGACAGAGGTGATTTTCAGGGTTGGAGCAGGGAAGACGGAAGAGCCTGGAACAACTGCTGTATTGGGAAGTAAGGAAATACAGCATGGTAAGACTGTGCAAAAAGAACATAAACTGGGGGGCTGGGAAGGTGGCTCAGTGGTAGAGCGCTTGCCTTGCATGCCTGAGGCCCTGGGTTCAATTCCTCAGCACCACATAAGAAAAAGCTGGAAGTGGCGCTGTGGCTCAAGCGGTAGAGTGCTTGCCTTGAGCTGAAGAGCTGAGGGACAGCACCCAGGCCCAGAGTTCAG